ATGGCTACATCTCGAAGGACCATTTGCTTGTTATTGCTCGGATACCAGGGCATCAATTCAAGTCTGAAATCTGTAGTGTAGGTCATCCCCTCCTCCTCCCTCTCTTGTTGACTGGTGGCGGTGATGATGTGACCCAACCGTCTTTAATTTAATGGTTGTGTTGAGTTGTCCTCGGAATTTGTTGGTGTGGTAATGATATCATGCTATATTGGGTTCCCGCAAACGCTCCTCCGTCGTTTGTTGGCTGTTTGAAAACTAAAACTGGAAGAGGACGCGGCTGTTACATAGGCCAAGCGGAATCAGCCTCCTTGATGAGATTATGAGGGGAAGATTGTCCTCCTCCCAGTGGAAGAGTGGCTTTATTTCCCATCATTTAAATGCAAATTGTTATGTCAAGTCTATAGCCGTACTATGTTGATACGTATGTACGTGCATACTGCTGCTGGCCCTTAGTCGCTCTTCTGCGGCAATTTTACGGTGTCCCTTTATTTATATGTGCAATACTAAGAATAAGGACGTGAGGGGTTAGTAGCAAAATACAAAATGGGTTCTCTTATCAAGCCAAAGGATCGTATAATACACGAACAGTGTATACGTCACCAGTACATTTATATGCATGTAGGTAACGCATCTAGCATATTTATGCTTATCGAACAAGGAATCCCAAACAAGCCAGGAGATGAAAACTGTCCTGATTCTGCGGTTTACAGGGGCAGCCTCGAACTCCCTCGGGCAAAAAATTATTTTATTTTATTTTATTCCCTTTGAAGCTCTAGAGATAAATCTTATGGGGAACCTTTATGCATATGTATCTGTTCCCCTATTGTATAATGCTTACGGTCGTTACATGATAAGCAATACGTGTTTTCATAAAGCCCTCTGCGTAACCTGGATGGAATACAGAAAGATTTAGCTAAGAATTGCGCAATTATTAAAAAAACAACTCGTTCTAGGAAAAGTTCCTTCCTTCTCTATTTCAACACGAAAGAAAGTGTGATTTCCGAACAGAAATAAATCAGAGCTTGGGAATCAGGCAGAAGAAGTTTTGACAGTAAGCCACTCTCTACTCATTTTTGTCCTTGGTTGTGTCTTAAGTTGGCGAATATTAAGAAAGTTGTTATCGTGCCGGTCCCGGGCTCCGTTCTTGAAGAAGACGTAAAGAGTAGAGTTTGAGTGATGACTAATTTCGCTGCTCCAGAAAAACTGAGAAAAAGCCACCTGATACCACCCAGCAGAGAGGCACAGCAGCTGTACAAAAATATCTAATCACCCAACGCCCTGTAATACATCCCCACATAAATAGATAGGAAGATGGATAAATGGTTTGTTCTTTCTCTATTAAAAAATGTTCAAAATACAATAATGATTTATCTTCCAAAGGAACAAGTTTATAGCGGAAATAAGAATTAACGTCTTAGTCGAACTTTCAAGTCGTTACGTTGCACACGACAAGGAACGCTGTGTTCTGTTAGTGGATCACACCACCAAAAACCAACCACCACGTGCATGACTGGAGTGCATTAGAGTGTGATCGTAAAGAAAGGCAAGAGCTGCTATGTGGGCGACAGTTATGCTCAACTTTATGAGCACTGATTCAGCACCCTCTGACCCAACCTTACTCTTGTAGTGTGGAGATAAGTACTTATCTTTTCGGCGCTGTTGAATCAGTAAAATACTAGTCGTAACTTGTTACAGTGGTCTTGTCTATCGTTAAAATCTGTGGAATTACCTCGTATCATGACCTACCATTTGAAGAAATAATTAAGGACAGCCTATTCTATATATTTACGTATTTAGTACCAACACACTCAACCCCAAGGCCAATTTTACTTAAAAGGGACAAAACCATAATTGTTTTTTGTTCTCTATTCAATTTACCAAAGTATTTGTATTTGCATGGGTGTGGATCTCGGATAAGCGAGAAATGATGATATTTTCATGAATGTTGTTCTCTTTGAAAGAATGAAAGAAAGAAAACATTGAATTTTGGAAAGAATCCAAAAAGCAAAATCCAGGCGAAATAGTAACATGCAATTTGTGCAAAGTAGTTTTTTGTGAGCCTGCCAAACACTAATTTTTTCAAGCTCACATTCCAATAGGACATACAAATATTTCCATGTATCTACATATACATAAATGCGAGTGGATATGCATCACACTCAAAATCCTATTCGTTTAAGGTTTATGTTTATCTGTCGTTATGATGAGTGTCTGTGTGTTTCTGACGAGTTTTGTTTTGTCGTCCCAACTCAATTACGAATTTGCTGTACGTGTGCACATACATACAGCCCTAGTTTTACCATTTACAGTTTCACTCACTCTCTCCTAGTCTCCTGCATGCGGTTAATGTTCCATGTTTTCTGCCTGGATTAATCCCACTTTCCTTCTAGCTCTGGCTGGGAAAGTGCAGGTGACGGCGATGTTGGATTATGTATGTCATTGATTGGAACTAAATTGAGCGAAGAATTGGTAATGAAATAAGCTCGGCTATAACATACTGCCACCCATTCCGTCAAATGACTTGCACCTGTTAATCTCATAATGGAAACAGAAGGAGGGGAAGATTAGCACACTTGTCCAGTCCTCGCTCTTGCCACATGCATACATGCAGACATATGCACATATGTACAAGTACGACCACTGGGTGCCTGGGTGCTTAGGTAACCAGAGGCAAACATGGCCCGTGGTGGAAGGCCCTTTCTCTCTTCCTGAATTTTTTGTGTCACCAGTTACGGTCGTGTAGTTTCCTCCTCGTGGTGCTCTTGCCATGCCGTAGACAGTTACGCAGAAGAGGTGTGGTGAAAGTGCTCTGGAGGAAATCCGCTTTAACGTTATATGTTATGCTCATGTATTTTGGTATTTCCTCGAAAGACAATATATAACTGGCAGCCCCAGTGACCATTTTGTTTGGGTGGACACTGCCTGCACACGGCGGATTGGATGTGTAAGTAAGTAAGTAAGTAGTTCTGGGACACTGGATCAATAAAGTAAAGTAAGAGCTGTATCATAATATCACGTGTCCAGAGGGATTTTCTACTGATAAATTGAATGTTGTTGTTGATGTAGGAAGGATTCACTCACTCGCAGTGGATTTGAAGGATATTGGATTGCACTTTTATAGCTTTGGCGTCTTCGTATGTATGTATGTGGATATTGTGGATGTACTTACACACTCTCATCTATCTACATGTACATTTTCATACATATTACTTTGAGCTTAGTCATCAAAGAGCCATTACTGCACTGTCCGAATTCCTCAACATCACTTTACCCATCCGCCCACATTTTCATTTCAGGATTTTTTTATACATGTATGGATGGAGTTACACACGGCTGTTTTCCAATAAGCAGAGTGAGAATCAGTTTCACGGGCCATTTATTTTCAGTAGAATATGGTGCTTTGTACAATCAAGGAAAAGTGATAAAGTGCTGCCAAACCTTCAGGTGGACTGAAGAGAGAAAGAGAACAAGAGAATAGTGAAAGTGAAGTGGTTTTCGGCAAAGAAATAATAATAATAAAAATCCAGTTTATTCGTGAACACTACTCGAAACACACTCGTGTTCCGTTTCGAGCAGAGGAACGTCCTTGGTCCTCCACAGCTTGTTTTATTTCTCTTTGATCAACAAAACAATTTGGGAATCGATCAGAGCCTCGTAAAGTTTCAAAGCTTAAAAACATGCTGCCCGATGTACGTATATTGCACAAACTCATCTCTGAAATGATTGAGTGTTTTGGACAGAAAGAGTGGTGGTCCTAGTCGTCAGAGTAGTAATAATAGACGAAGAGGCGCACTTTTACTTACGTAAATGGGCCTAATAATTAGTTTAACCATGATCAACTATGAATACATAGGTGAGCTCGGCGTGGGTGGTGGTGGTCGTGGGGCTCGGTTGCCTCATTGAAAGTGAAAGTTTCTCGCAAATAAATATACGATATACGTGGGATAAGAGTTTGCTGGACACTGAGTCCTGTGGGAACATAGAAACTCTGGAGAAAGTGAGTGATACATCTTTCCCTCCTCCATTGGGAGCCACGGATAGTTAGCGAGTCTCCATAATTATTAGATTTGTTTGAAAAGAGTTTCTCAACCAGGGACGCGGCTATAGAGTCGAAAATGGGCTGGAGTGTAAAATAAATGCTTACTCCTCTGTTTATACAACTTAAACTTTCTGGGAAGGGAAAGTTATTTGCCCCGAGTTGAATATTAATTCATGCCGAGGACAAAATGCACTTGTATTTGTGCTATGTGTGTGTGTGTCTAATAAGTGTATATGTATGTACATGCTCCAAATTAATGGCGAAGCATTAATTAATTTTCTAGTATGATTTACGGTTATGGGTCTTCCTCATGTAAATATGCACCTTACTTCGGTGGCATGCAAAAGTGGGGATGATGTGTACTTTGCGGAAATGGCGAACTCTCCTCGGATCCTAGACATCGCGACTCATTAGCAGAAAATAACGAGACGAGAAAGGTTGTAATTAAAAAATAAGAGTGCCTTGTGCAGATCTATAATGAAGTCCATTCCGCACAGATCCACTCAAATATAAATATGCCCATGTATGGCTGTGACATGTATAGTTTGTGTCACCGGTTTGTCTTCATTATGATAATTAAGTATATATAAACTGCGTTTCAGTGCTTTACATAATTGTTGCAGAATTTGCTAAATGTCAAGGAAGGAAAATGAGTATACTGAAAAGGTCAGGTTGGTGGTAATTATAACTTTTGATCTAGTATGTGTAATACAGAAAAGCTTCATGACTAAATTCAAGGGAAATATTTATACTGATGCATTTACATATTTATACATACATATTTCCACGTAGGATTAGTTATTGTAGCTTAGGTTTTCTTGATGATAGCGCAAAAATATCCGCAGTGTCGACTGCAATTCTTTTGTCCTTATTACATGTGCACACATTATATTCCATCTTAAGTGCTTATTTGATTACTTCGGTTCAATTTTAACTCTTCAAATTTTTTATGAATTCGCAGATCTACAGCCAATCGTGAGCAGCAAGAAACGTGACCCCCGCAGTGACTACTATCGCCGGAAAAAGTTTCGCAAATCGGGAAAGCACAGCAGCAACAACAACACTACGACCACCGCAACCAGCACAGAAGAAGAATATCTGCAGGAAGAAAACAGCAGCAACCACCTCGAAAAACATTCCTCCTTCGTCGTGAAATTAGTAGGAAGGAGACGGCCGGATGGTGGCGGCGGTGGGACAGCAATCCCTCCTCCTCCTTCTTCCACTGAGGTCATGACCTGGTTCAAAGGATGTGCTTCAGGACCGCCAACACAACATAGTCACAGCCACCAAGGTTAGTTAGCAGCGCTTATCTTCTCTGCGTCATTAGTCGCCCAATTTCATAAATCATTCCATTCCAACTTTGAATTTCCAAGTTTACGCTACCAACAGATGAAGAGAAAGTTTGATAATTTCAAGATGAAGCACATTTCTAGCGCTTTCACCATGGCTCTTAACCACAACGGAAATTAACATGTCGCTCCTTCTCAAGTTTAATTGTAAAGCTAGAAAGCACCAGATGTGAGCCATACTTGAGAAACTTATTTAATTCAGAAATTTATATATTAATCCGTAATACGCAATAAGTTTCAAGCTGTAGAAACTTTGTTTCATTTCCGTAATAAAGTGTGGTTTACTGCTTATCATCGTACCTCCTTGATACTCGTAAACGCCAAGAAAAAGTACGGAAATTTAGAGAGAATCGGTATGATAATACAATTCTAAGCATGCAACGAATATGCATGCATACAAATATATAGATTATATAAATATTGTACGTATCTGTACCAATTTTCTACGTAAGATCGACATTTCGCGTATAAAAGTGTCAATATACTTCACGAAAAGAAGTTGACATTTTTGTGTCACCACCAGCAATAACCTCAATTTGTTTCACATAAAAAAAATGATAAATTGAATTTGACTCGTCCCATGATCGGTATGCAATTCATGCGGCAGTCATTTTTCCTTCTTGCATTGACGGAAATATCTTTTGAATTTGTTAAAGTGGATGTCAATCACTCTCACCCGACTCAAACTCTGAATATTTTTTCCCCAAGGAGGCCGTAATAGCAGATCGGGCATGGGGGCTGCCGAATCGAGGAGTAGTCGTGATGCTCTAGCCAAGTCTCGCAGTCAGTCCAGCTCTGCCCTCTACCATCCCCCTCCGCCCCCATCAGGCGCAGGCAACGCTACCACCACCACACCCATCGGTAATGCGGTCAGTGCTTCCATGTGGGATATTCCGCATCAGCACAACCAATCACCGGCCAAAGTTCGACACCACCACCATCCCAAGGACAACAAGCGTTGTTGTAACCTTAACAAAAGTTCGTGCTCTTGCATTTATCTAGTTTTATTTTCGATATATTGAGTTATTCCTGAGCACGATTTTATTTTTTGCCCGTAGTCGTTGGAGGAAACAACAGCAGATCAAAATTGTACGCCGTCTCTTGTCCTGACGTTGCTCATCAAGCTTTAATCGCTCACAACCATCAACACCAAGGCCATCCACCCGCAACCACTGCGAATAAGACCCATCAGTATCAGAATAACATTCCAGAAGAGGCCCTTCACTTTATTCTCCCGCCACCTGAAGGTTATCGAACCGTTGTCGTCCCTCCACATCATCATCAAGCGAACTGTCCCCTGAGCAGAGATTTGCTTTTACAATCCCACCAGCATCACTCTTTGACACAGCTTCACCTCAACAATAGTGGCGTTCCGCAACCCGCTGCTGCCGCGTGTTCCATGAACGGCCCAATGTCACTTTCATATAGTCACCTTCCTAGCTCATATCTTCTTCAGCAACACCCGCTCATGACGTCGCTTAACCACACCCACCACAGTCACCATAATCATAATTATAATAATGCGAGTAGAGTTGTACCACCTCCGCCACAGCAGAGTGAACCGGTCAAAGTGCGACACACAGAATCTGCTCCAGATCTAGACTCAATCTTTCCAGCGTTTGTGATTCCAGGTGAGTTGTGTTATTTCGATAAAATATTAATTAACTTGACACTGTCAAGTTGACAGATGTCATAATATTATGTCGCAACTCTTTCTCATGACGCAATCGCTTTCTTTTCAGAGAATATTTTTGAAGTCCATTTAACCCGGGATGGACGAGGTACATAACACGTAATATAACATATTTTTTAACTGACTTTTATTTATATTGTTTAATTAATTATTTCCAGGACTTGGATTGAGTGTGACAGGTACGTATGTTAAAGTTTGATAAATAATGATAGTAATGCGCATTACCTGCATAGACCTCGGTCTCCTCTATGCAGTTGTATCAGTATATGTACCTTGGCGTTTACATGAAATGTTTCTGCCACAGGGGGTCGTGATTCGGGTGAAAAATTTCCTGGTCTTATCCGAATTAAGAAGGTTTTCCCTGCTAGCCCAGCCTCAGAATGTGGTAGGATTTTAGGATGGGATGTGATTTTACAAGCAAATGGAACTCCGCTTACAGGCCTTGCCAATCATGTAAGTTCGTCATGAACAACCATTTCATTATTTTTTTCGATGGGCATTTGCCAACAATATATTACAAACTTTTTATAAAGTTAATACTTTCCAAGTAAATATTTAGAAGATTACTGGGCGTTATTTTTGCACTTACTAATTCTTAGGAGGCCTTATCAGTCCTAAGGACGACTCCAACAACAACAATTCTCACTCTGTGTCGCCCACCACCTTACACCCCCGGCTTCTCTGACTCTCCTTCTTCTACCGTTCCGGACCATCCACATTTTCCTTACAATTCATACAACCCCCATCATAATCAGGAACCACATTTACCTCAGCAAAAATCCAAATCGCTTTCTAGTCTCAAGATCCCTCAGAACTCCATCACACCCAACAACTCAAAATCAGGTCACTTCGGGGTTAGTTGGAACATTCATTATTTTATCTCTTTGAAACTTTGTGCAAATGAGTGATGATGATTTACATAACTTTTACCAAGTTTCTCTATTTGTTTAAAAGGAGTTTGAAGTGACACTTGAAAAAGTGTGTGGTTCTCTCGGATTTACTCTGCGTCAAGAAGATACGTCTATTCTAGGTCATTATGTCCGTGTAAGTTATTGTCTTCTATCAGTTCTATCGTTACTACACAATTTATTAAATATTCCTTCACCCATATTCTAGGCCCTTGTGAAGGAACCGGCTCTGTCAGACGGCAGAGTAAGTCTACTTGAAGCATGTTCATGAAATAATTTCTTTGAAATGCATAGGTCCACTTTTACTAGCTCAAACTCTCTAGAGTGTGTTTCTAGTGTCTAAAGTGAAAAGTCGTATTGAGCTGAAAAGCAAAGATGACATTTGAGTTCTATCCTCTTAAACAGAAATAATCAAAAACTACACTTTTCTTAGATTCAACCAGGAGACAAAATCATCTCTGTGAACGGAACGGACCTGTCCGGTTTGAGTCACGGAGACGCCATCAACTTTCTCCGCCAATGTGGATCATCCGTAACGTTGCGATTATGGAGGGACGTCAGCCCCACGCCCGTGTCCCCTTTGTCGCCTTCCGAATCTGTGAGAGGGTTGAAGCCTAAACCTCTTCGGTACGTATATATTTTGGCGCACCACTTGGTTCATTTCTTTGTCAGAATATCTACTGAATTTGATTGCGGAGAGTGGAGACAGGTGCAGTTTACTGGCCTACCTGCACCTTTTTTATCAGATATGAAGATTGACTAGAGTGTGAGTGACACGGCAGACATCAGGTTTTAGGTTGGGTTAGCAATGATGACAGAGGAACGAGCGCAAAAAAAACCTCGTTGAATTTTGCATGAGTAAAGAACAATTCGTGAGATTGGTGCATGTCTTCTTATGCTAAGAGACAGAGTGGAAAGGAGAAAAGGGAAAGTTGAACAGAAGCAGCAGCTTGTCATCATCCAATCTTGGGACAAAACCTCCATCTGTGTATTTTTAGACTTTTACTTGATAACGAGCAACTTGTAACTTTTCCACTCCATCCATACCACCACTTTCTTTTGATCTTTGTCTTCCTGCTCGCTTCCTCTTCTTAAATTTCTTTCCAAGGTGACCACTACCACTGTCTAACTACTACTGCAAATAGCATGCATTCACGGATTTTGTAGAATCCACCTCAGCTCATGGTTTGTGCAAAAATCTTGATTTATTCACCCCATTAAAGTCAGCGTATGCAGACGTCCTCGTCGGCTTGTTGGTTGTGCAAAGTTGGTGTAAAGAGGCAAAGAGAGAAAGTGGAGCAGTTTCTGGGATGAGATTTATGTGAGACGAAGGACTTTGCTTTTGCTACCGCGTCTCACCTGCCATTATGATAGGTAGGCATCGCATACCATTTTCCCAACATCCTCGGACAGTACTATATACATTCATACATGTGGGTTTATACGTATACGACACGACTGCTCAGTCCACCAACGCTCTGGTCAACGCTTATGTAAAAGTGAAAGACATTTTCAACAAGATAAGATCGACTCGTCGTTAGCTTATCTCGCTTGTGTTTTCGAGGGCTTACTAACTATGGTCGTATGTATGTGCATACAGATATCATGTGTGCCCATACATATATGCAGGAGTACGTACGTAATAGTGGTTCTAGCTGCAGGTTGGTAAAATGAGACAAGAGAAAACCCGGTTGGATACTCCTTAGTTGGTTCGTCTTTCCTTCTTGGTGATGGTTTGGCTACCCTGTGGTGCAATGTCCCACTTTACTTTCTCTTTCTCCCTTTTCGTCCTTAAGTAGTGAGTGGGAGCACAAGAGTCAATTTACACCATAAAGGAAAGAGAACAATGCATGCACCTTTATTGTCTCCTTGTATCTTGTCTCCAATCACCAAAATGCCTGTATTTTTTTATTTCTCCTTTTCCGTTCCCTTTGTTTCTACGAATATATAGACATACAGTAATAGTAATTTCAGAGACAACCAAGTCGATAAAAGACCACAATTGCCCCAGAACAAGAGATTGTTACACTACAATTGCTCTTTTGTACTTGAATTGCCCCATATTACATATTTATTTACATGGGATCATTTCCTTCTGTTCATTTAAATATGTTGATGAGGACACATGAGTGACCTGATAAAAATGTTTTTGAATTTTTAAAAAACTTCTAGGCAAGAAGCTCTCGACATGCTTAACGACTTGGCAGTTCGGAAACAATCTGCAGAATGGAAGCATTCTCTTCCCGGCTCCGTTTCAGTCGGTGGGGGTGGCGGTGGCGGACGATCCTGTGGTCTGCGAACTCACAACAATAGGTCCACTACAAATACTGATGACGGATCCAACGGACCAGCAACCTTACCACGACGTCGAGGAGTCAACCAGCATACGACCCCCATCATTACTCCGTCACCCGAAGTCCTTTCTGCAGCATTGTCTCGTGAGTACAGAATTAAGTTTTTTGTCAAGATTCCTCTAATTCCTTTCTCTCCGTGTAAGATTACTCCCACGAGACGGGCTTATTTGCATCTGTTAACTGCTCGCTCCTCTAATCTTCACTCCCAAATTAGTTTTCTTTTACTTGACTTGCAAATTTTCTCGATGAGGGGTTTAGCTCACTATTTGAGAAAAGTCTCTCTGTTTACACGCAAATTACGTCAGGATTAGGACTCTTTAGGGACTTTTTCTCTCTATCCACAACTTTACCTCGTTAAAGTAGAGTTAAATTGGCAGTTGTTCCCTCCAGCAGTTGAGAAGCTGAATTTGTTCGTTTCACTCCATTTCGTTTCTGACCACTCAGCTCCATTTCCTTTCTTTTACTCGCTGGGGAAATGGAAATGGTTGTCGGACCACAAGACGAGAATTTTAAGCAGGGCACGAAACATGCCACGATAACAAAAAGAATGAGCAGAAGAGGTACAAAGTCAGTCGTCCAACTCGGTGAAACTTACTTTCACTTGGTTCACCGTCCACGCGTATAGCAAAAGAGATAGTCTCTGTTGTTCTGGTCAGTAGTACGACGACCAGCTCGCATGGATGTGTGAAAAGCCAAAAGTTTTTTTTTTCCTTGCAGCAGCGTTATGAAGCTCTGGCATTTTATGATGAAGAAGGACAAGGAAACAATTTTATTTTATTTTGCTCCATATTCTATCCGCGTTGGCAATAAAGTAGAGTAAACCATTGATTGGATTTCAATTGAATATGAACGTACTTTTCTCTCGACTCACTCTTACTTACAATGCGATGGTGTGAAGTGTAACCCTCCGATTTGGTTGAAATTTCGAAATTAAGTGGTCCATGTCAAGACACCCAACGTTTCTTCAGGCAGTTTGTGCGATGGTCAGAATTTGGCAAAATATTGGAGGTCAAAGGTGAAAAATATGCGATTTTTACCCGGCGGAGGAAGCAAACTCAACTTCCATTGTCTTCCCGTGCTAAAAATTCCACATTTTTCAACTTTAACCTCAAATATTTCGCCAAATTCTGACCATCGCACAAACTGCCTGAAGAAACGTTGGTTGTATTGACATGGACCACTTAATTTCGAAATTTCAACCAAATCGGAGGGTTACACTTCACACCATCGCATTGTTAGCCCAGCCACGAAATTTGCTCTCGAGTCCAGTCTACTAGAACTCCCTGAGGGAGAGAAAAATGGAAATCTGCGCAGAAATTGAAAACTTTCTATATTGCTTCTTTATTCCCAAAGGGTTTGCTTCTCCGAAGGAAACCAACGTTCAACCGCAACCGTCCCAACCGCCAGTACCACCGTTGGAGGACGACGACGAAAGTAGAAGTAGTGGAAGTGGAGAGTCCACACCAATGTCGAAAAAGGCTGGCCTTGTTGCGGGTGACCCTTACCGTGCTTACACTGACCTGCGTTCAGACTCTATCGTATCGGCAAACTCTACTCTGAATGAGAATGAGGAGGATGCTGAAGATGGGGAACTGAAACATAGATGGGCTTCCTTTAATAATCGTCACCATAATAATGGGGTCGATCAGGTAATGAATCGAAAGTACTTAATTAATTAATATTTTCCACTGCTTATTTTTCAACTAGAACTTAATTTTTATGTAGAATCACACATCCGAACCCAATTTCCGTTCTGGTCAACCCAAATATCAATCCGCTATTCTTCCATCGACAGCAACAAGCAAAAATAAAAAGCGTGACGGTACCCAATTTGGATCTGGGTTCCGTCTTCCACCAGCCCTATTTGAACGAGGGGAAGCAGAAACTGAATCGGGTGCCCTTTCCGACGAATACCTACAAACTCAACAAGTAAGCCGCCGGTCGTCATCGTTCAGTTTTGTCGCTTTTCATACTGCGGTGTGGTTTCTGAAAGAAGAGATAACATAACTATATAACTTGCCAGCTTTTGTTGAGTGACGACTTAATCCGAAAATTTATTGTGCCTGAAATAATGCAATATCTTTTGTCGTGTCTGTCGTCTCTCAAAAAATGAGAGAATACGACCATCAAAAGATCCATAAATGTATTTCCTTAGTTTCTTTCTTTCTTTCAAGAACAACACGTATTCCCGAATGAGTTTGCCCACAAGGAGCAAGAAAGTTGTGTCCAAAAACACTGGAATGTGTCCTAACCTTCTTCCATGGACAGTGACTTTGTTTCTTGCTTTATTTATTGCATCCTTGTCCCTCTTTTTTTCTTGTGGTCAGTTTGGTCTATGTAAGTACATAGTAGTACTAGCCACAAAAGTAAAACGAGACATGTCCACCCAGACCACTCCAAACGCAATAAACAAATATTCGAGACAATGAAAAAGTAGTTAATGGCATATTGTTGTTGTTTTCTCTCTTTTTTGTAGAGCTGTGATGACAGAAAAGGACGAAAGAAAAAGAGCTTGAGCAGCACCACTCCAACCACAACTTCCTCACTTTCTTCGTCGTCATCCTCATCTGGTGGGGGAAAGCTAGGAAATTCTACACTCCTCAAATGGAAAGGTGTCCTTCTGGAAGATGACGAGGATGATAAACATGCTTCGGGTAATTTTTATAAAAAAATGTGATTAATTAAGGAGAACACTAATTTATTATTAAAATGGACGGTTCTTTATGGCTGAAGGTGGTTCCGATCGACATAATTATTTAAGTGTAGACGTTGACTTAGAGAACGGAACAAGACGAAGTCCAGATGGACGAGAGTTTCGAGAATGTGATGTCGAGATTTCGGCAACTACTCAGGAAAATGGGGAGCAGGTAGAAAATTACTTGGATTTACCCAACTCTCAGATAACATGACACTTTTTTATCACCTTCATTCTTCATTATTCTCCTCTCTCTTCCTCTTCAGATATTCACCGTGGAGTTATCCCGACGTTGGTGCAGTCGACTCGGCTTTAGTCTACAAGGCCGTGATGGCCACACCCACATCTCCGCTGTTTATCCCAATAGCGTTGCATCGAAAGATGGACGTCTTCGCGTTGGAGACGAATTGGTCATGGTACGTTGGTTACCTGTGTAGTGCTTGAATTATATTTACTTTATAATAAGATTTGTCTTGGTCCTTCGTAATGTGATGGATACGTATGTACATAGGCCCCTAAAGTTTGCAAGTTTAGAAAGGTCCAACTAATTACAACTTTGTCACCAAACCTTTATCCCCAAGTTTTTGCTTTCACGAATCTACTTCCAGGAAAAGATTACACACACAAGGATGCAAGATTACAAAGTTTGTCTAATAAAGTAGACTTGAACAAACTTGTGTACATAAGTAAATCTCATCGTCCCATCCAAGTTCACCTTTCTCACTCTCGGCTCGGCTCATTTCTTAATTTGTTTCACCAAATTATGCCGATATATAGGTCAACAGTTTACAGTTCTACTGCTTCATCTATTTCATGTCATGCACTTAATTAAGTAGATTTATACATACTCTCTTGTCAAGATGTACATTTACGATTGGTTTTCTAATTCTGACTCTGACTTATTTTTCAACTAGGTAAATGGAGAAACTATTCGAGATATGGACACATCACAAGTTATTGACATGATGCGCAAAACAAGAGGAATAATCAGCATCACACTTTTAAGAAGAAGCGAAGGAAATGGCGATGGCGGAAGTGGGTCTGAATCAGAAATGGGACTCAGATAAATTACACCTCGACAACAGAATAATCAACGGAATAGAATGAGAGCTTTGACCCAATTAATGCAATTAATTTTAATATATAGTTAAGCGTTTCAAAGAATAATGATCATTAAGATCTAAATAAAATAACTTATTAATGGTTGAGCTATTATATAACCGACATATACATGCAAATAATGGTATTACGCTAATACATACATACATGTGTAAGGTGCAAGCAAACAAAATAATTTAGTCAATCACACCAATGTTATTGCAGTCATGTGAGTTAAAGAATCTCTATATATTCGCGATATATCGCAATTTTTAATTATTTTATTTTTTTGTAAATTTTCTTGAAACGATTTTGTTTAAGATCAATGCAATGACTGATTATAAAAAGCATTAAATAAATTTGTGGACAAATCAAGTAAATATGTTAATTGTGTGAGTGGTTTTTATTTATTTACAAGTTATTTATTGACTAAGTTGAGATTTACTGGACATGCAAACGCCTTCTTTACATATATGAAGTTTAAACCCTAAAATACTTATGTAATAAAATGTTCGGTTTGTGCATGAAAGTATGTCGTAACTGTTTGGCGTCAAAGAAGGTACTTGGGGGTGAGCAACGCCTAAAAGCTCCACTAAACACCGTTAGAATCGGTAGAATTATTATTTTGATTTGGGGGAAAGCAGTTGAATTGCAAGCCATTCTGGCGAAGATCATCCATATCAACCGACGGTGTTGTGCGGCTACCTCCATATCGTTTAGTAAGCTGGGAAGGATCAATATCTTCCAATAACGAGTTTCTCCATTCATTAGAATTTCTCCCATAAAAGTTAAACACAGCTCTTGTATTTTGATCAAGCAGGTTTTTGAAAATCTCCCACAAAGGCAGCGCGTACTGAGGAGCTATAAAGATTAAAGATTTCAAACCTTTATGCAAACAAGTGCGTTGTGTCTAGAGAGTGAGCAATAAAGAATGTCAAATCGCAGATATAGATATGTCAATATATGGGAAAACGAAGAATCTCACCACAAAAAGTGGCATGGCTTCGTGGCAAATGTGCTTGTCTGAAAATATGGATCTGAAAATCAGAAACCTGTACTTCAAATGGTTCAAAAATGAGAATAAAGATACAAAATGTACATAGAACAGTACGGATAAGTAGCATGTGATGGTTAAAAAGGATACTAGCCCTACAAATAGCCCTCAAACTAGCCGAATGTATTGGGCATTAACCAAGGAGAAATATTCCAAAAGACAAAATCAAACACACACATAGTTTATATTGATTTCGCCGAATCCGTGTGAAAATCTTCACAACGTTATCGCAAAACAGTGGCAGAGGGCTGTTGAGACGTGTTGTGCTCCATTCTTGAACAATTTGAAGGAGAGGCTTCTATGTTCGGATACTTGTAAACAATTAGATTTGTCATGAAACCTTGCCACTTTTTTTGGTGAAAGTTTCTTGTGTCCATACTGCCCATGTAATTCAGGTGCATTTGAAGATCTTTGGCATTAATTATTGCTCTCCCTCTATTATGCATATTTAGATTGAATGCGGTAATAATTTCTGACATACTGTTAATTGCCATCACTTTGTGAGCACAACCTGGGTAGTGTTGCTGATAAGTGGACAGCATGCTCATCAGAAGTGGTAAGCCTTTCATTTCGAAGCGAGACAATTTACATATTTAAAACTTTACAAGAAAATGTATAAGGTGAACGACTTACATCTCGGACATCCTTGCGAAATTATGTTAAAATTTCCCATGTCCATGACAGTAATAAATTGTGTAGCATTGCCACCCATTTTTCTTAAGAGTAGTGCCGACTCTTCAAACAGACGATCAAAATAGCGACGAATTCTTTCCGATTTTCCAGCCAGGACGACACGTCTTAAATCCCAATCTCCTACTTCCGCAGTGATAACTGGGTTTCCAGATCGATCGCAACCTTCAACATTGTATTTGTATTCCTCTTCCATATCACTCCAATCCTCCTATTAATAAAATTTCAAAAATTGGAATTTGAATTTGCAGTTATATCCATAAATATAAATTATAAAAAATCCACTATAGATTATTACATCTAAAATTGTGTCCATCTTGTTTTCATCACGCCAAATCAGGTTCTTTATGGAGAATTTTCAAATACTCAATCATTAAAATTTTATAATAAGGCAATATAAAAAATATCTAAGCGTGCAATTATAAACTTACATCAAGAACTCGCTTCTCTGCTACGTTGACATCGAAGAAACTATCTGCAAATGGATAATTGGTTTTTATTATTATGAATGTCATATCTAATTGTTTCACCTTTGTACCTCTCAGCCAGCGAATTAAATAGATGTCCTGCCGCATGTAATCATGTGGTAATTTTGATATAACCCGTTCACGAAACTATAATTAAGTACCACATGGTAAGAAATTCAGTCACCATTCAATATATTTAATTTAGTATAGTCAATTTAAGCCACTTTACCTCATCGAACCTAAGTTTCTGTTTATATGTGAGGGTTACAAACTCTTGATTTGATATCTGTGTAGATTTGTTAATTTCACATAATAGAATAAAACAGCACAACGTTACCACCAGCATTTTTCAGGCTACAAGGTTTGATGTCCAAACTATCTGTTGCAAATCCAGTCAGAGACTGGTTTTGCATTTGCCATTGACATTGTAATGTGGTACCTGTGAGTGGACACTAAATATCCAAAACCTCTTACAATGAATGTGATAGCATGCACACAATTTAAAATTAAAACTAACATGCAGTTCTGGATTACATTCTTGCTATTAAGTATATCTTCAAGGAAAGTTACTCTGATTCTCGCTCCCATGCGCTACTATGTACATATATGTATGACTTAGGTAATTGAGCTTCTCATGCCGTAAGGAAAATTGACTAGACATTAATCATATCACGGCATCAAGGTTAGTGTGGGCATGCTGCAGCATTTCAACACTATTTCAAATATTATAAAATTTGTTTACTTGACAGTAATTAAATAATACAAGCTGAAGACAGTTACTAACTACGCTCCATATTCTTAAATTATTGATACGCATGAAATCTATTAAGGTACATATGTACTTATCTACACATGTACATGTGCATGGCGCAGATATGCATTTATTGTATATTTATAATAAAATCAGCGACATATTCAGAAGTCGAAGGAATAATCAATTCAACACGTGACGCAATGATTTGAACAAGATCATGACGGTCGTTGCAATTATATATTTGACAAAAAACTAGTTACGATATACATTGGCATCTTCGTTGCTATTATCTAGTGCACATACATGATTCACCTATGTATGTATGTTATTGTTTGCGTTTCTATACGACGTGATTATGTTTGATTATGAAATATATACTACATATTTTTTGTTTAATTGAGCAGACAACCTCTATGTACATATACATACCTAGTTTGGATAATATTCTTCTCGCACACACGTGGATATTTGTACTCATGCACGTATGTACATGCGTATGTATGTACATAAGTGAGTGCATCTTACAAGATAAAACCACAAATGATGCAAACCTGAATTGGTTTGTGAAGTCATTTCAAATGACTCATTTGTTCTGTGATTGACGCAAGTTCATATATTCTGGTTGCAAATTATCTTTGGTTGGATACTAATAATTTGGAAAGAATAAAATTTTAGCAAAGCGACATTCAAAGATTATGCGTTGCAAATGAATAATATGAAAAATGAAGTAGCTAAGGTTCGGTCTTGAATGCATAAAAGTATTTCTCGATTCTTTCTTGCTTGGAAATGTAATCATATGCATGCATACTTTACTTATATGCATAAATGCATACATACGTAAATATGTTTCTCTACATATACTCTTAAGGCCTGAGATGGCATTGAGCGAATAAAAAATTACTGAAAATTAGTTTATCTAAAACGGTCTCTAAATGTTTCTAATCAACTTGTTTATCCGATTTTGATGATCATGGAATTTTAGTCAGTATTAAAAAAAGATTCATTTTGGTCCCATCAGTTTTGTTGAGAACTATTTAAAACTCTGTTCGGGATGTCCTCCTACCCACTGGTAGTCATTAAGGAAGACACTGTAAATATTTTTTATGGTCTATGTGCCTAAGTCTAAAGTGAGTAAAATTTAAGGTTTAAAATATCATCTATATCTCAACCTTATCACTGAATGGTATAACTATACAATGCAAACGCTACATCCTTTATTAAATGTATAACTTGAAGTATACTTACGAGCTGGTACAATAATTTTGTCATAATTGTCTTAATCTTTAATCCTACTTAAACCGAGAACTACATAGTTGGAACATATTTCCTGACCATCCTACAGAGTTTCGTATTTATTTACCAAAAAAGCAGGATATAAATTTACATATAAATTTACTATCTAGGAATACTCCCTACAAATTGATCATCAAATAACGAAGATGCAATATCGAATATCGTCGCTGAACCTGCATTATGTGTGAAATGATTTTTTGTCCGTTTCTCTCCGGTTTAAGGGAGAGATGAAGCTGCCAAAAAGTGAGATAGCGCATAATGCAGGTTCAGCGATAGTAAATATGTGACATGTCCCGTTTTGGTCCGCGAAACCTTTGCCACAGTGATATTTGCATACGCCACCCATAGAAATGGATGTACATACTTATTGGTTATAATACTGCCACAAGTTCCAGAGCTACTTGATTCGAATAAATCTCTCCACCTTGATAACATGATGTATGCTGATTTTCGGCACCTGTTGTGTTTAATTCTAGGTTAGTAAATGCATACGTACCCATATTTGCATATAGCATTGTTATCATTAATTCTTTCATGACGTTCGAGTGCTTCAAATGAATGCGTAAGCAAACTTTGGTGCCCACAGCATAAAATATCATTGTTTCGCAAAAACAATCCTCCCTAATCTTTAAATTGACGTGAGATTATTTCTCCATCAAGGTGGCAGGAATGGACTACCCGGAGGATAATCATTCATTTTGGAATTGTACTTATTCATATAGCATCTCGTGACATCGAACTCGCGACATCTTGGATTGATACTTTTGTTGAAAAAGATCAAATTGACCTCTTCCAAAAATGCAGTCCCAAGCCCTTTGCGTCGTTTTGTTGGCGTTTACCGTAGTCTTTGCAGGGAATGTGGACTATGATAGATGCGGTATGCACATAAATAAGATAAATAACTACCATATTGCTTGGATTGACAATAAATAAAAATATTCATCGTTGCAGGTGGCGTCGGCACTTTTAGAGGTTTGTATATTTGTTAATCCTTTATTTTCATGTCAACAGAGATCAATTTAGTACCACAATAATTGGTTTACGCAGGATTACGAATTAGCGACTGTTCCGGTGCCGTATGTGAAATGATTCCTGGACGACCCTAGTGATCCTTTAACATATTTTAGATAAGGAGATGGTTATGTAATTAAAATTAAAATTAAATCTTAAATTTTAGCAATTGCGAGGGCGACTTATTGCCAAGTACGTCATTCATGTGCGATTTGACTGTAACTTTTGATAACCATTCTTATCTAATAAATTTTGTTAACTAAATAGGTTCCCCAGCTGCCTCCCTTTCTTTGAAAGTAACCACAGTCTACTTAACCACAGTGATCACCATTATTGACACCGTTTTGGAGAACAGCTCTGTTCAGCCAGGTTACCTCTACACCGTCAAGTTCACGATTGGTAAGCTATGAATTTTCTATTTAAAATCTAAGATGCATACTCCAGCCTGTTTCTTTCTTATTTATAGTGCCAAATGATGTCTTGGTCGGCAACCATCTTTTAACTCAAGCCTCCCTGTACCACACCACGGTCAATCCCAACCCGCTTATCGAATTCTGCGCAGCTTTCCATGTTAGAATTATTGAAGGATAAAATTTCAATTTTCATGTTAAAAATGCATAAACATTTCTAACACAATAAACTAATTGCTGCAGATGACTAAATACATACATTTTGTTATTAATTCTTGGAGCCCATATTGATTTAGATTGTGTGAGCTGTCAGTTAAAATATTAATTAATTATCATATAAAAATCAGAATAATATATTGTCAAGATTGATATCAAGCATCTGTATTCATTCATCTATGTATGTATAAATGTATATAATCTGAGTTTCAAAATATTTGTATTGTTTCAAAGCCGTTAATGTTATTCACATTGCGTCGAAACTTTCCAACAAACACAATAAAATCATTTATGAACAACGCATAAACCTGGAAGATAAGCCACTGGAAATTCTGAATTGTAAATTCCGCGTTTCTACACACTTACATATGTCCATATGTACGCAATAACACTTCTGGGCTAACAACTGCCATCGTAGGTTGCGAAATAAATAAAATAACCCGTCCCTCAATAAAAACTCATCATTAGACTATCTTGATGACCCTACATTGTCAATTTTTGCCATGAATGCTTAAAAGGTTATAATGCAGCGGCACGTTTGACGTCGGAACGCCACCATTTAGTAATAAAGTAATTAACAGCTAATCCCTAAATTACCCCATGCCCATTCTGATAGCATTCATTCTTCCTACAAATGTGACGTGCAAACACATTGAAATTAATATAAATTAGGTGAATTAAGCTAAAATACTACACACGACCCGTGACTCTTTTGCATTCGAAACCTCGGAGAATAAAATTAGCAGACAAAATGAAGTCCTTCGTTGCTTTCGTTGCTCTCTTATTCGTGACCTTAACCGTTTGCGGAAATGTGGATTACGACAGATGTGGTACGTCCAATTCGCTAGAAAATTTTGCTAACCAGTGTATATTGTCTATTTATGAATTTCACTGTGATTGCAGGCGGTGTTGGAACATTTATGGGCACGTAGAACAATTACTACCTCTCAAGCCACCTATCTAAGCCAGTGTTTCTCTTTATGGGTACTCAGATAGCTATTCTACGCTGATTCCAAAAGCAGACAACGTATAATTGTGCTTGAAATTCAAAATTTAAGATCTTAAGAATTTAGTTCTATTTTATTGATACCGGCATGACCTTTTTTCGACTCGATATGACTTGACTGGATAAAATTAGGCGATCTGTTCGCAAATTCAGTGCACGGATTAGGTCGAAAACAGTTCATGGCGATAAAAATAAAGTAATAATACATTTTGAAAGTCACCAAACCCTTAAATAGCTGTCTGAATACCTCTATTGAGAAAATCGTTTGGGGAGGTGGCTTGAGAGGTAATTTTTACCGTTTTTGCCACCAAGGAATGAGGATCGGAGGCTGTGAGGGACGAGTTTGTTGGATGACCCCTGGCACTCCCTAGTTAGCCTTAGTCCTAAATTTTCTATTAAATTTACAGATTTTCTTACCTATGGTTTGCTTAAGAATGAAGCGAACGAACTGCAAGCGCATATATCTATGTGATATCAGTTTGCCTCAAATTCTAAATGACCGTAGTCGTGTAGGACATACATCCATCGACTAAAATCCGAAAACCGGAAGTCGATATCTCTTACCGGTCCAAAATTAGGTCAAAAACCAGCGAGCAAAAGTTGTCCGCCACTCGAGGCAGCTAAAAACAGTGGCGAAGCACTAATAGGGAGCACCCGACAAACGCTTCATTCTTAAGCAAACCTACTCCGGTCGGATAATAAAATTAACTCGTTCATGCTTTAATTTTATAGTTTATGCGAGGGCGATTTGTACCCAAGTAAGTTTTTCTTCATGGAGGTTGTTCGGAAACTTCTACCGTGAAATAGAATGCAATACAAACAAAATTTTTGACACATAGGTTCTGCCGCAGCTTCTCTTTCCCTCAGAGTGACCGCAGTTTACCTGACAACAACCATCACGATCATCGATACCGTTTTGGAGAACAGCTCTATTCAGCCAGGTTTCCTCTACACAGTCAAGTTTACGATTGGTAAGATATGAATAATTTTCTATTTCGAATGCAAAGTATGTAGTAACGATTGGTTTTATCTCTCGTAGTACCAAATGACATATTGGCAGGTCAGTGATAACATTAATTTTACATGATATCAAATTTTATAAATGGTAAATTAATACATACATACATATTTTATATTAAATTATTCAGGAGAGTATTTGCCAGTTCAAGTAAGTTATTATTTTGTTCAAGATACAAAAAATGCTTAAACTTGTAAGATTCTTAAGTTTTTCAATTGCATCTATAGGCCGAGATTTACCACACAGTAGGCACTATCACTGAAATCTGTGTTGGATTCCACGTTCGAGTCGAACAACTGAAGAAATAATTTTTCAGTTTGTGCTGTCTGAATTAATGATATTTCAGTTTGCGTTTGCATCAAAAATTAAAGCCTCAAAATTTGTTATTACACTTTTGACTACTGTGTTGATAACCAATACATAAAAAAAATAATTTATTTATTCACGGCATAGGACCTCAGATATGGCATGGCATTTCATCAACGTTAGTGTATGTATGTATGTCATATTTAAACTGCATATCATATTTAAATGTGTGGATATTTGGTCAACATGATGCATTATTAATAATTTGATATAAATACAAAGCATTTAGGTAAAATTCTTTCCAAATAGGCTGGACTAGGGGGTGGTGGCGTATGTAGTGAGTTGATCGTACCATATTTTGTAGTACCACATGAGTTACTACAACTAGCTAAAGCAAAAATTTTCTTAATTTCAAAGTGATTTTAATAATAATTTTTAGCTGATTAGAAATTGTCACAGATTTTATGCACCTCAAAAAAAATCACGATGATAAATGAAAAAATCACGATGATAGATTTTTCAAGTTGACAAAAGGACTCTGGCCATTAAATATGTTGCCTTACTCATGCGCAAAAATAGAATTTACCTGAATGTGTATGCAGATAACAGGGAGTTGTGTATGAATTTACGTCATAAATTAGACTAACACAATTTGTGACACAAATGTACGTACATACTTAAACCAACCGGCTGATAGAGATTTTTCTTGTACACCACACGTTTCTCTACGTTTTTATTTGAATATTTTGAATTAATACAATAAATACGTACTCCCACTTACTTCAAGTGTGGGGTTTTTCATAATAAACAATTATAATCCAAAGTGAGAGCCGAATACATATATATAATTATAATCGCATAGTCGGTGACACCGACTCGGTGTATTTACATACACACATAAAAGCCCTGTTTCTAAGTATAACTGTTTCCTGAATCGGCTAAATACTATCTTCATGGATCTCGACGCCAAAAGTAAGGAATACACAGAAATGAAGAAAAATAACGCCTACCTCTGCAAACTAGCCACCATCTCCAACGAAAACCCGAAAAACTTAATGCCAAAGTTCATTTCCGCTGCAAATTCTGTGACACAAATAAATACTTTTTGCCCAGATCCTCCCGAAATTTGGGAAACAAGCTCCAGGCAAGTTGACCTTTTAAAAACAACCTCAAAGATCAAAATCATTAGTGGTGGAGACTGGGATTTTGGTGTTGTTGCTACAAAGAAATACAATTTTCAACATCGGCAAGAATTTGACGATGTCGTGTTACAAAGAACATGGTGTTGTTTCGGTCAAATTATTCCACAAACTTGGGAAACCATTACAATTCCAGAAGCATTTAAGCAAGTTGGGGTTACGTTATGTTTAAATTTTGAAAACATACTTGAATCAGCAAGTGACGAAGCGAAGGAAAAATTCGAAGTGCAGGGCTGGATACTTGGGAAAAAGGCACGAGAAGAGAAAGTACTCAAATCCTTCCTTCTTCAGATATTTGGACAACCGAAAAATCAATCATTAGGACAGCAAGTAGAATTTACAAATTTTAAGCGTTATTATGAAGGTGGTAACTCTTGTTATGGGACGGCTGACTACGGGGAAAACTATGTTTTCATGAGATATGCAACTTCGTAAATAATTTATTAGTTAACTATTTTTATATGCTTAGCAATGCAATGCAATCGGTATAATTAATTATCGTTCTAAATCACAATTATATGCAGTGATTTTGTAATAAATCGTGTTTATTTTGACTTTGTTTAGGTACATACATAACTCTGAAATGTAAATAAATAACGGTGAACTTACGATAAAATTAGTTCAATTTGTTACAATTATTCAATAATCACAGACCTATGCAGTGCATACATACATAATATACACCCATGGATATGTATATATAGGTACTCATTTAATTGCGTATTGTACATATTTTACCACTTATGTGTAGGCTGTAACGTGAATATTTTATATATCCAATTAGGGTACCCTCATAAATCTACAGAATTTCACTATGTAAATATTCACTATGAAACAACGCCCGGAACAGAACTATAGTCAAATAAGGCCATACTAAAGCAGAGCAGGTTCTGAATTATTAGATTCCCAAAAGTTCAAAGATTCATTGGTACAAAGATTTTGTAATTGTGCAAAATATGATTTACAATATGGGTAAATTACAAAGATAATGATTTAATGTTGCTCTTTCTTTTCACGTCTCGTGTTCCCATTCATTTTGCAAGTATACGCAATTATTCTTTAAATTCGTGCAAATCACACCTCCAGTTTATATGTGGCAACATATCTATCCAGATTTACAAACATCCTCTGTCTTATTCTAGCCCACCATGGGAACTTTCTTAATTTCTCGTCCCATGTGAAAATATCTTTAGAAACTGATCCATCGCCGGTAACAATTCGCGCAATTACTGCGACTAATGGTTTATCCGAATTTTGCGCATGGTGTTGCATCGCTACGATATCCTCCGCCAGAGCAGAGTCGACTTCCACTAGCAGAATTTTCATAATCTCTCCCAACGATTTTTTGTCCAAGGAATTGAAGGCAAGAGCAGTTCGAGCTTCACCGTGTTTCGTCATCAAAATAAGGATGAGATCTTTTAATGAAAATGATGCTGTAACAGGTAGTGGCTTTTCCGCAGCAGGAGCCTACAGGTATGCAAATCAAGTCAATTAAACACAATGCCTGTTAACAAATAATTAATACGTAAAGTATATTTACCTGTGTGGTATTTTCCGAGGATGCAACTTGACGTATTGATCTAACGTTTTCTGCCGGGTCTGATATTTGTTGTCCATTTTCTTGTCCATGAACATTATTCGATACAATTGAAAACGTTACCACCAATACGATTCGTTTTAAAAGCTGCATGATGAACCAATTTATTTCTGCCGGCACTGAAGGAATGATGTAATCTTAAATCAAACTTTATAATTAGTACGAAAAACAACCCCTTAAACTAAATGATCAAATGTGTGATTTTTTCCCAGACGAGATAAACTTGCAGTGGCTTGATGGGGTCAATCATCAACCGACTAAAAACTAGATAATGCTAGCTGTCTAACCTAATTTCGATAGGGAATCAAGGATGTAACCTGATTGCACAAGATGAATGAGTATAAGATAAAAAGCAAAATAAATTGCAAACATTCATTCGCGAAGGATCCATACGATTTCACTTTTACTTCACAATATTATTATCAACCGTGCGCTACTGTGTGATCGTAAAATGCAGCTCCTATCGTGACTCACGATGCATTTTGGGTCTTATGAAAACATGTGAACGCAGTACTATTCGAAGACATGAATAAAAGATGCGTATTCAGAAAAGACTGTGGCAGCAGGGCATGACTGCAAATTTTCTGCATTATGTTACATTATAATTTGCAAGGATTGTCCATCTCTGTATGTTATATTAACTGTTAGGCGTGAGCTGTATATACAGAAGTCTTCGAAACAAACGTACAAAAATATATTCAAAATTAAATGCTTTGTTACGTAATAATCGGTGGTCTAATAATGATCAGTTGAGCTTTTCTAAAAAAAGGCACACACCAAAAATAAACCTAGTCACCCTATGCCCAAGTAAAAATTAGAGACTTACTTGTACTTGCAAGTTGCAAGTACAAGCATATTTGCACATCCATACATATGTATGTATTTATACACATGATAAGTTAGCATTTTACGGCATAATTGTAAACATAAGGATCCAAATTTGAATAAAATATAATCATGTATAATCTATATATTATGTAGATATACATATATCATGCACAATTATATAGGTATTTAGGTTTGGATACTTTTAGAAATACCCCAAAAACTATCCATTAGCTAGCCAATTATTTAATTGTACAATTAAAGATATTTTTAATCAATTATGGTACTTTTGGTATCATCTTCAATATTATTAAATTTCCTTCAATTTCTGGTAAAATATTTCTAAATCATTTGCTAGAATTAGCCATAACTTGATGAACGAACTCACTTCTGTCCATCGCTGGGGTTGGCTTAAGAAACTATGCTGTAATATTTATATTTATTCATTAAATAATTTCAGTGTACTTAAAAATTTGCAAAATGATTATTCCAGTTATGAAAAGAATCTACTTAATAACGAAAATTAGAACTATTTATTAAGGATTGCAAATGTGTTGTTTTGCTCGCAAGATTAAACTTTGCATAAAGGATTTATTTATATATACACTTGATTTATACGCAAGTATGCGTAGCATATGTACATTTTGGCTTAAAGGAAATTATTATCTGCAGTGATTTTCGTAGCTGTCAATTCTTAATATAATGAACAATTATATAATCGCATATAGTAATTTAATTTTATACAAGCACGTCAGTTATATTCTCCCTTTTATTGGCTTTTGTAACTCTAACCTGGACAGTTTTCTTGAACTTTGTCATCTTGTGGTGTGGGGTCACAAAAATGTAATAAAATGTAGCTAAATATATAACCTAACCATGGCATAGTCGACGGGAAAGTCGTGTATTTGTACAAGTAACAGCAAAACATCAACTCATTGCTTCATCATTAATGAACTAACTATTAATACCATCCACAATAATTTGTTCATTAAGAATCTTGCATGCTAAATCAAGTCTATTATAAATAAAATCGTTGCAAATTTTAAAATGAGAGTGAAATCGTCTATTTCTAACTTTTTTCTACTAGTAGTCTTTATAACCACGTGTAATGCTGACCTTCTGGATTTGATCGGAATTGGAGGAACCGATCAACCCCCTTACTGCACTGTAACGCCATCGTAAGAAAAATGCTTTCACCTTTAAAAAATAGGATACTAATGTAAATATGGAATGCCACATTTTCTGGATAGGACTACACCTTCTCAAGCAACTTGTGCTTCTGGAACGTTGGATGACTTGAAGAATGCCCGAGGTACTCATTCCAACGATGTACGACCTGACGGGCTAGTTCCATCTTGGATAAACATACCTCTTGCCAAGAAAGGTCAACAGTTTGCGAAAGACTATTTGTTGTCCATTTTGCTTTCCCATGTGTACGGTCTCCTTTCAAGTGGATATCCAGATGCTGCTTATCTTCTCATGTTTAGCGGCGGATCGGCCACACCTGAAGACGCGCAGAAACGGTACATGGCAACAATTACCCAAGTATTCGTGTGGTACCAGGACACCCTATTTGGCCCACCAACTGCCAATGTTAGCGACATTCTTGTGAGGTAAAAAAATTGATGCTCCCTTAATTATCCTGATACTAAAATATGTACTTATATACATATTTATTTATTTCTTCCTTGCTTGGAGGTGCTCGAGCCCATGAAGGATAAATTTACTTATTACAACTTGAGATTTTACAAATTTTGCTGGAAAATTTAAAGTAACACGAGTTACTGATTATGTGTGTACTTATGTTCCATTTAGCTTGGCAAAGGTCCGCTCGCTTCATATTGCGGTCGCAGCCGCTGCAGCAAATAGAATGGCAACCAACGGGAACTTAGTTGATCCAAATATTTACGAAAATTACAATCTGACGACGGTACTGTCCGGACCATATTATCAAGATTTAAATGCATCAGACATTCCACAAACTATGCGAGATCCTCCACCTTCCAATCTAAACGTGTCGGGTGTGGTTCCCTTCAATCAGCAAGTAGCAGCTCTTACGCAATTTGCATTTGCGGGATATCCGGTCTTGTTCTCGGAACAATTGGGAATCAACGCAACGGATGACGAAATATGGGCGTTTAATCACCTGTGGGCGGTCCTTGGATATGCACTCGGCATCGATGATAAGTACAACTGTGCACTTCAGCCAAACTTACAACAGCAGAGGCAATATTATCGGGAAATTTTTGAAACGTTCAATGTTCCAATTCAGTTTAATATGGATTTTAATACGAAAGCTTTAGGCGATATTACTGCAGCTGTAAGGATAACGTACATATATTTACTTGATTATTGGTTGATCGTTAATGATTGATGGCTTAGTGGTTTTGATTAATACATAAATGTTCCATTCATTTTATATTTATTGCAGGCATTCCAAGCCCTCGTTTCTCCGTTACCTTTAACACCTAATTTTATATTGTACCGTTTTCTGGTGGATATTGTTCAAATTCCAGCCCCAATCGTGTGGGGAACATTAACAAACGAGGAGAAGAACGTCAGCAATGCATTTGAATTTTCTATGCGGCCCATGTTCATGACCAACCCAGTTTACAGGTTGACCGAAAATTCCCTTCTATGGACCGGCATGGTGACCGCGGGATCAAATCTTTTTGGTGTGCAAAACTACACGACTCGGTACTACAGAGCAAGAACGGTATTCTTTGCCAAGTATGATTAGCGAAAGAGCTTACATATTTGATTATGTGTATTTACCCACAAAAAATGCAATATATCTATGTAAATATTTCCAATGATTAGGCTTATTATTAAATAAGAAAATAACAACTTATAAACTACTAATTATGCAAATACTTATTATGCAAAATTCAAATAAAAGGTTGAATACCCCATGAGCTTTACTTCACATGTGCAAATGTGCAAATTAATATGTGCGAGTTATCATCACTGCCACGGAATGTTATATGGTAAATGGTAATATCCGATACGTTATACGATGAGGTCAAGTTCATGTCGATAATATTGGTACAGAGTATATGTATGTCTACATGTAATATGCGAGTGTACATATAAATTATGTGCGTGATCTGGGTGTCCAGTCTGCCACAGGCTTCGTACAATTATTTATATTGAAATGTACAACTGGCAACAAATAGCTTGACGATTAGTAGGCTTACAATTAGTTTTATCTTGTAAATTTTACATGCTACTGACCAAAGTGAGAAAATAACCTAAAGTAGTCAAATACGTGTGTAAAATCGGTAGTGTAAAATTCTGATTTATTTCGTATAATAATTGAAATAAAAAAGACTCAGTCCAAAAGTATAGCGTCTCATGGTTTCTTTTACTCTGCGACATACATAATTTTACATCTAAAAGGAATGAAAGACCGGTGTCTCATGTTTGTCGCCGTACGAAATAAAATACTATAAAAATCTCATATAAATAAATACGTATAAAAATATAAAATCCTAAAACCTAATTACTCTACCAATCCACTTTTTCTCCTGTTATGTTTTCTGCTAACTTTGTAATGTTCCTTTGGAAATATGCGGGAGCCTCTTGTGTCCTCACTTGCACCACAATCGAGGTCATCACTGGAGCACGATACGTATGGAAGCTTGCGAAGACTTCCACCATGATGAGGGTTATGGTTATTGGGTGCATGGTGCACATTATTGAATTGATTCTTCTTCCTATGCAACGAATTGCAATTTCTCGCATCCACTACGCTTTCCTTGCGTAACTTAGTCATTAGCTGAAGCTCTGTCGTATCACCACCGCCATTTTTAAAGGAAGAAAGGTCACACGTGGACGAGTTTGCATTTAGATGCGATGGGGAAATGGGACGATTATTGTTGAACCTCTCGACAAAGGATGTCTCCTGAAATTTAGATAAAATTGATATTATTAGAATTCTACAACACGTTAATATACAAATCGAAATTTAGAATTCACCTTTTCATCGAGATGTGATGTAATTGTGGGAATATATCCGTTGAGACCGTTATGATGAAGATGACCTCCTCCGAGAAAGTCTGGGGAAAGTGACTTGTCAACATCTAGGGAAGGGTCGCCACATGGATATTTGGCATCTTGTTCCGCTAATTAAAATTAAAGAAAGGTCATTCATTGTTAATTATAATTAATATTGTAATTAACAGTGTCGACGTTTATAATGCAGTTTAAGCTATAGTTCGTTTGTGAATAATTACCTCTGCGCTGCTTGCATTTGTAACAAAGGGCGCACGAAACACAGAGTACGACCCAGAAACCGATAAACAGTGAGCCCAAAAGGACATACAAATGATCATTGGAGGGAGGGATATCATCTTCCGGGAGCAATTCTTTGTCCTTGGCTATCAAATCGGGATCAGGCTTTTCTGTTGACATTTGTCCTAGAATAGAGACATTAAAAATGTATTTATTTATATATGTAAGCACACATTTCAATTATTAATACTGCGCATATGTATGCGCAGTAAATTCTTACCTGTAGTTTTTGCAGCTATTATTGAACTAAACCCAGAAGCGCCAGCACGGTTAAATGACTGAATTTTGATATCGTATGAAACACCGGGTTTAAGGAATGAGATGTAAAATGACTCAGTGTCAGCCCCCAAAACAGTGACCTTTGAGTATTCTGTGGCAGACGTAGACTCCCGATAGTAAATGAATACGCCATCAATTCCTCCCGGTTCTGGTTTCATGTGCTTCCATCGCAGTACAATTGCCGAGTTGTTATAAGGTAAGGCATTCGTGATTACTGGAGCGAAACTGGGTCTTCTTGAGGAGCTTTCTTTGGTTAGCCCAAATTTATCGGAAGTGGGACCAGACTTGTTGTCATTGTTGGAATAAACGGCAGCAATGCGGTACCTACCGACAAGATTAAATTGTAACACCAACAATCATGAGATTTATTCAGTCCAGAAATTTTAAATACCTGTATGAATGCCCAACTTTGAGGTCTCTAACTTCATAAGAATGAATGTGTGGGGGAATATCATCGTCGATCGTCATCCACCTCGAACCCCGTTTGCTAACATCTCGATACTGGATCTTGAAGAATCTGGAATGAACACCAAATTATCAAACCTTACTTATCATCGTATTAACTATTCAACAAATAAATAGTAAAACTCGACTAACATGATTGGATATCCAGAATTTGGGGGCACGGTCCAGCGCACCATCACGGAATCATCCGAAACTCGATTCACTACGGGTTTTGATGGAGGTGTCATAATTTCTCCCCCTTTTCCATGTTTCCTTCTCTTGTTCTTGTGGTGGAGCTTGTGATGATGGTATGGATGAGGATGGTGTTCTTGCCTTTCTTCTAGCATGTCGTCGTCTAAATCTTCTTTAAGAATTGCGGTTGGTGGGAGAACGGGTGTCATATTGTTCATGCCTGATTCAGGGGTTGCCATCTTGGTAAACTGTTTCGGCATGACACGGATTTCCGCTGGGGAATAGACTGAACCCATTGGATTTCCTGCGAAACACTGCCAAAGGCCGGCATGACTTTTTTCCACTCGTGCAATATTGAGGGAACCTTCCTCTCCAAGGACAACATTTCCTCCATCCGGGTTCAACTGAACACCGTTAAAAACCCAAAACACCCTCGGCTTCGGGAGACCTTCCGACCCACAAGTGAGCGAGAGGGGGGCACCCTCCTCCACAATTTGACTTTCTGGTCCCTGCACAATGACTGGAGGCGAGTTGAGGACCAAGGTGGAGAGCGATGTTAGAGAATCTCCCACCCCATTGTACGCCTCACACACGTATTCTCCTATTATAGATAAGTTAAAAGACAATAAATTAAGTGTCCCCGCTGAAAATTAATAAATGGTACTCCACCACTTTAACCTTACCTTCAGACTCCATTCCCACGGAAAATAGGTGGAGCGAACCAGCCGTTGATCGTGCCGTTGGGGTCAGCGGTGAGCGTAACTTTCGCCATGTTATGAATGGTGGTGGGTTACCGATTGCGACACAGTCAAGGGTTATATTCCCATCTAAATAGAAATAATTATTAAATTTTGTCACCACTTCACAATTATCAGAAAAGCTGGAAGTAAAGTTATGTAATTAGTTACCCTTTGGCACGACAAAGTATGGTTTGGGTTTGACCAAAAATTCTGGCGGTCTCCGTCCTCCTTTTGACTTTGGCGTTACGATAAGTCTGGTAAAAAATGGGGCGACCTCTGTCTCAGTTGTTATGTGGTTTGAAACAACGCACCAATAAACTCCACTATCACTTGCAACTGAAACGTTAAAAATGTGCAGAACGCCAGCGTCGGAGAGTGAGTAAGGACCGCCTGTGGTGGATTCGGTGTCAATGGGTCGACCATCCTTCACAAAATTAGAGGGGAATTTCAATTAGGGAGTTATGTTTGTCATAGTTCAATAACACGATGCTATTTATAAATAACCAATGTGATGTCGATAAGAAAAGACGCTTTGAAACGATAAGGAATGAGCGTCGCTTTTTGTGCATATGCAGTAAAGATAAGGAAGCTCATTTAATCAACAGAGCTCGAGTAGGAAACTTCTGTGAAGCAGAGAATATTTTTACTCTGAGTTGACATTACATTATTTTGCATTTCTACCTAATTTCAACTTGTGAACTGTTACACAATGTCAAAACGAAGGAACCAGATTGACAACGGCGAGAAGAAGAAACTAAAACTGAACGAGAAAGACAATCCTGAAGAAATTGAATTAAGTGAAATTGACGACGACAAACAAATTTGTTCAAGCTCAACACCCACCGCATCCAAGTCAAATTCAAAAGAGTAAGTTGAAAGTGTAAAACATTCTGATCGTTATACAATTTTCAATTTTCTAATTATTATTTTTGTTTTATTCGTAAAAAAAGTTCAAAAGATCAAACATATCGAAAGAAAAATTTAGCGACAGAAAAGTTCAAATGTGAGACTTGTGGTTTGGTTTGTGCGACTAATGTGTACCTATGGCGTCACATTGCTACCCAGCATGAATTGGATGATTTGTAAGCCGAGTTCGATACTAATTTACAATGTAATTATAATACTCATTCATAACTAATTAATAATGTTACTATAATTGTATGTAGACCGAATTGCATTCTTGATTCCGTGAATCCAATTCTAGTGAAAAGAGCGACGACGTTGGAGATGTGGGGGAACGAGGAGGAAATTGTGATAACCCCAGCACGTGAAAAATTGTTTGAAAATTTCGACAAGCACAGGAATGCCAAAATAAGCTCCAAACAAAATAACAATTACTCCTCCGATTACTTGGTCCTCTTTATTCCAGAAGCCTTTCTCTACAGAGACGGAAGAATACTGATAGCAAGAGAAGTGAAATCTTGGATAAAAGCCAATCAATCCAAGATCATGCATCTCTATTGGTACATTGGCACAAAAGTTGGGGTCAGTGTCGGAATCGACCCACATCATTTTTCAAAAGCGGGGAGGATCGCCTCTGTAATTTATGACCACGTCGTCAACAGAGGATTCAGAGCCTTTCTTGTGAAGCAGTGGGTGTTTGATCGTCCGGAAAAGGAAGATAACGTCAAGAATGCTAGACTTTTGGAGGCCTGGATTCAGGTAAACCTTTAAATTACATCTTTAAATTCCTTAATAACCCATACAATGTATTTACATGCAACTTGCCCATGTTTTAGGCGATAGGAGTGATTTACAAAAATCAGAATTTTCGATCGCCATTCCCTCTGCTCAAGTACAGCACCCTCAATGTCAAGATTGAAGAACCTTTCTACAAATTGGAGCGGACCTTGCAGGATGAAGCATACAACATCGCCGGAAACTTCAACAAGCCATTGCTTTGTTTAGATGACAAGTGTTCCGTTGCTCATCATGTTCTTCCTGATTTTAACGAGCGTAACGGTGTTAGATGTAAAGGGGAGGGGTTAATTGAGTATGATAACCAGGGGAAAGTAGTTCGGGTCAAATGGAACGGGGTTCATTTAAATGAGATTGTTGAGATTGGGGTTGATGGCAAAATTGTAAAAGATTAACTATGTGCCCCTTCGAGTTACTTACATTCCACTTTCACTGTATTCCTTTACATAATATTGATTTCTAGATGTATCGAGTTATTATTAACTATGCAAATGTACTAATTCAATTTTAATGCATAATATACTGTTTGATAAGTGAGAGCTATTCTGCGAATTTACTAATAAACTGACTTCTTATCATCTTAATTTGTATACGTGTATTCATTTATCTGTCTAACTACAGATTTGCATAGTATTATTACGTGGCATATTTTATCTAAATTTTCATTAGTATAATATTTTTTTATTGCTATTTACCTTCCAAAATTGGACGACTGGGGGTGGGTTGGAGTAGGGTGGGTCACATGATATTGCTACTACCCCATTCCCTTCAACAACTTCCAAACTCCGGTTTTGAATCTGGGTGGGAAACGGAGAGAGGGACGCTATCGTCAACTGCGCCGGGAGCGAGGTTAATGATTCCGCGCCAAAATTAGCGACGCACTGCAAATAAAAAGTATATATGTAAACTAATAATTTTAAGCCCATCACAATTCAAGGTGGAGATGGTGTAAATCTTCAGCATATAAGCCTTGCATACGAAAACTGTGTCATTTTATTTCCCATTAGAAATGTTGTCTGCATACCTGGTAATCTCCTACTTGCTGGAGAAAGCGTTCTCTAACTTTTGCCACCTTCACGACCAGAAAGGAACCCGAGATCCGAATGTCAGACTCGTTAGCCTCCAAAAATCGACCATTCAACTTCCATCGAACCTGTTGTAAAAGTCAAATATGAAAATCAAGACAAAGATAAACCCACAAATTCCCACACATCCAAATGTATGTTACTGGAGGGTTAATAAATAATTAACCGGAAATCAACCGGTTTCGAGAACATGATATTTTTCCTTATTTTTATGTATGTACCTGTTCTGCTGGAATATTCGTTTCGCACTGAAATGTAACACGATCGCCCGGCGGTGCCACAATACTTTGTGGAGATCGAGTAAAGTGCTTTCCAATGTCCGCTGCAAGAAATATAAAGTTGTTAGTTACATAAACAACTAAATACGTACATAACTGAAACACCATGTCTCTCATTTATTTTCATAAACTTCCTAATTACACTTTTCCTCTCAAATCTAACAAGATTTTCCCATTTACATCTTATGCCTGCCCACTAGACCAGTGCAGTGGCAAGACGATAATGCGACTAATAGACTCTACAACAAGAAAACAGAAACCAAAAAAATAAAATTCGCTGCTCTAAAGTTAGTATCACTATTGATTTCGGAGGAAACTTCGTATTGGACCATGTCATAGCTCTCTGTCATCTATCCATTCCAGTCGATCCACACATGAACGACTCATCTGCCTCGCTGGTCACATCAGATGCGCCCCTTCTGAAACAAAAGGACTAGTCTCCGATCGAACCAGTGACTGATATCCATCTCTTCAAAAAACTTGTTACGCAATGTGAGATGAGATGACTTTAAAGGAAGTTGGACTCTTAGCATTTCCAACAACTGAGTTTCAAGTCAGTGCTCTTCCAGGTGACTAGGTAATGACTTGTTGGCGTCGCTAGCTACCACAAGTCTCAACTCATTTTTATTTACAAGCCATCAAAAACACTATCTTTTACAGAATAAAATAAATCTCAGGAGGTTGGAATCGTCGTCATCCTTCATTACAATTTCTTACCATGTACATACATATATACATTCCCCTCTCATTCCTTATGTGCGTATGTACCTAACACGACCGTCTGCCTTCTGTCCTTTCCTCCTTTATTTTAATTGTCTAACTTTTCCTGCGTTTCCTGTCCAACTGGTTAAAATGCGGAGCACGACCTGGCCCAACTCTTATTATTCCCGTCCAAACATTACATTTCTCCAATTAAGCTAATCTCAACAACAAGCAGAAATATTACAGTCATTCCCTAATTTATATTCTTTTGACACATTCACTGACTTGAATCAATTCAGAACAGGCACAGAACAGGCACAGTGTGTACCGTTCGTCGTTTTCCGATAAAAACACAAAGTTTTGTACGGCAACAACAAAACAAAGGGTTGACGTTGACATTTTATCCAAACTTTTTCTGAATTATTTATTGCTCCAATTAACGTTCTCTACTACTTTATTCTCGTCTTTAAAAAATCCTGGATGTAAATCCTTTCATTTGTAAAGTAGCAACAAATCAGTCTACAGCGTCATAAAACAATTTGGTACATATTTCGTTGTGTACACACATAAGTATATTTTACCAAGAATGGCTTCCTCAATTCCCTATTTAACTTAATGTGGGTGCAAACTTTGGGTCAACATTAGAGTCAAACAAATGAACGGAAACTGCCCACAATGGTCGTCACAGTCACATCGCAAGAGGAAGGAAGGGAAGTTTGGTCAAGATGGGTGCCATAATCGTAAAACCCACTCCTTCCAACCTCGTAACAACAATGGAACTGAGGAGTGAGTGACTGGAGTTGTAAACGGGAAAGAAAATGTGACGATTTTCATTATTGGAAGTACTAGAAAGAGAGAAATATATGCCATAAATAAACAAACAGACAATTAAATTGACTGATAGTTGAAATGATAGTTGACAACCAGACTTTTGTAATTCTGAGAAGAGCAAAGAGATTTCAAATTGATAAACAAACACTAAATACTTAGTGATTTGGTCATGCTACAAACGAAACTTGCCAGGTGAAGAGTGGATGAGGTAAAACCATGTTATCATAAAAGCCGTGAGAACAATTCAGGTATTATATATCTCGAAATTCGATTACATATAATAGCACACGTGTAAAGAGGAGGAAGGAAGTTTTCCTTCCAATAAGTGTTATTCTGTCCGGATGAAAATGTTCATCAAACATGTCGATAAGATAACCCCTTATCAATTATTACCCTCAAACAAGTTACGCAATTTCAGCCAAGAGGAGAATTGAAAGCTTACCACAACGACAGTATTCCACCAGCAGGAGAAAGAAGCAGAAGACGACAACGCCAAAGGCAGAAGTGGTCGTCGTCGTCCCCATCTCTTCTTTGTCAATCTTGGCTTCACATCAAATCACTTCCCCAAAGTCCATGAATCACTTCTCCTCAGGCAGCAGAGCAGCAGCAGCAAAAGCAATGTCAATTCTTATCCTCGATGACAAATATTAATATCTATCTCTCATTCCAGCCTCGTCGTTCCTTGGCAGCTCCAGGAATTCAGCGTCCAACTGTAACAAAAAAGATAAAGAAACAATAATCACATTTTCATTCCGAGCTCAATTTTTTCATCGTCATCATCGTCATCGCTGGTATCAAACTACAAACAAATGAAAGTCGACATCGTCGTCGTCGTCGTCGCCTTCCTTATTCCTTTCTCATAATCCCATGTGTTACGTTTAGCTACATGCATTCATTTATTATCGGTTTTGTCATCATTATTCCCTTCACTGATGCTGTTCATTCCTGACATGCAGTATTGACTGACACAGGACTAATGGCTCGGGATTTGGAGCAGCGAGAAGAAAACGGAACAAACGAGTGGTGGATGACTTGCATCACACACACAATTTCATTTCTTTGATTCAAAACCTCTCAAAAAGGAATTTCAGAAAAGTGGCAGCCTACCGATAAATGAGAGGTCTACAATAATACGATACAATGTTGCATTGCAGGCTGTCAAGATGCACTCAGAATTCTTTGGATGGGACATTCACATATTGTTTTTTCGGGAAATTTTAACCAAGTTATTAAAATTTACAAAGTTGAAAATGCAAGAGACTGTAACCATATTTTTAACTATTGGGGGTACTTATTAGATGTTCTAGCAATAATTGGACTCGATGCAATAGGCCACAAGGGCTCGCACCATAAGTACCCTAAGAACATTCTCATATGCATACATGTACATATTTGTGTAGTACATGCATCTCCGAAGAAAGAGAAGAAATAAGGAATTGCATAAGAATTTGAAGAACAAGGAGGAGGGTTTCCCGTAGAGAAATGAGTCGACACTTTTTTCCTTTTCAAATTTTAGGGTTTTCGACGTTTCTCACACCAACCAGCCAACAAAACAAATGCAACTTCATGAAAAGTCAGTATGATGAGTAACTCGATTCCTAAAGACACCGAAACTTTGAAATCCTTTGTTTTTAGGAAAGAAAGAAATACTTTGCTTCTGTCAGAAATAAATATCAGACATTGCATTGTCGGCATAGGGCGGACTAATTGCGTTTCGTGGAAAACAATAGGGTTGTACTCGTACATTTTGAAGCAAGGTACACAAACTGAGTAATTAGTTCACTTGCATACAATATATGCATACCTATGTACATGTGCATACACATAATTCGTATGTACATACGTATGCACATATTAGTGCATGCACGGATCAGATCAAAGAAGTCTCATCTTCCCGTCGTTATTATGAATAAGATTATTTGACTCAATTTTGAGAATATATTAAAGGAAGAAAGGGACGCTACAAAGAATCACTACATTATTATGTACGTAACATCTTCTTGACAGCTCAGCATGTTAACAAACCTTTAGAAAATGCTCATGACACGTAGAAATCCCATAAATCTGAATGTAACAACAACCTTTTTGATTCTAGACTCACCTTTGCTTCTGATCACTTGAATTAAATCAGAGATTCTCACTCTTTCCCTTTCTCTTCATCCAACACAATAATTCACCACTTCCTCTTAACTCCTTCTTCACAACGGTAGCATCAGCATCCCACAAAAAAGCAGCTTGAAAATACACAAGTCCAGTCAGAATCACCCGAGAATTATCCAACCACTTGACTTGAGGAAGAGAGCACTTGACTTTTCCTCTACATACCATACACTCGGCCAAGGGGAGACCAATAATATGTAATTTTTGTTACTTGTTACACTCCAAAATTATTCTTATGTCTTTCCATCCTTCAGACTCACACTTTTTTAGAAAAGGACGAATAAAAAATCTCTGGGAACGTATAATCCTAGACAAAATGTTTCACTTGATGATGATGGCGATGATAATGACGAAGGCTACTGGACTGGAGTCTGCATATGTACGAGTACAATGTTATGTAACAGTGGCGTGGACCAGTTAACGCAACATAACTTGCTCCTTACCCTTCGCCAGCCAAAGTACAACTAAATTGAACCAACTTTAAGAGCTGAAGCACTTTCAACAGAAAACCTTATTCATGATGGATTATTCATAAATCTCGTAAGTTTAAAGGCCGAACGTTCTCATCTCTACAAAATCTCATAGCATCATGAGATTCAATCTGTAGCTTTGTATCGGGGATGATTTGAGTAAGCGTACAAAACCAACAGCTTTTTCTTTCAGTCCTCTTACATGGATGTTCCTTTTTGAAAGTTTCCCTTGTACAAAATCCCAAGAAAGCGTAATAATAATCATAAGGGACTGAACTACATACGCATGTTTCCTTCAGCTTTTGACTGAACCATGGTTGTTGGCTGGTGATTATTGCTTTCCCAATAATGATTTGGCTCCCTCAGTCAGTCATCTAACCACTTGCACTCTTCTCGCTTCAGCCCAATTTCTTGGGAAGAAAAGGGAAGCAATACAATGCTAGAAGAAGGAACAATGTGATGTCTAAGGCAAATAAATATAACAGTCAACAACCAATCTGCTTTTTCATATCATGCTCAGCAGTCCCATAACAATAACAATTAAACACTTCATAAGTTTAAAGGAGGAAAGGTGCTGGAAAGAAGGTAGAATTCTTAATTTTATGGCTACTGTAAAAACTCTAGAATTATTTTTCCATGGGCAGAAACATATACATAACTAAGTATATTTAGACGTATGTACGTTTCTTTAGCTCTAAATTACATTTAAGGTAGCTCTCTGTTTTTGAAAAGGGGCGAGTGAACAACACTCTCATTTTTCACATCTTTAAAAAAGCAACATGTTGCTGAGCAGACAAAAAGTTTGACTTTTGTGTTTGAAATTTGGATCGATTAGGAGCGAAGCTACCCTTGACTTTGACTCCTATACATCACGCCTCTCTTTCTCCGGAATTAGGGATGCCTAACCTGCCACGTTTGGGTTCTACAAGGAACAAATGTGTCCTTTTCAACCCTCTGCCGCTTTGTTTTACTCGATTTATAAAAAACACAAAGATACGATGGGTACTTATACATACAGGTTACTTTTATTTTTTAGAGTACTCTTTCCTCATCAAAATCAGGGCTGTGATGTTGTTTTTCAGAATCGCCGACAAATGCATTCAAAGCCCTTAATCATAATCTCAAGCGGTTCCTTGTGACGTTCAAGTGCATTTGAGGAACCATTTATCGCAATCAACATCAATCGTAATTCGTCCATTTCCCCAATTTTCATCTCATTCCTAAGTAGCCAGTAATCATAGACGTAATTCCATCAAAATTATTGAAATATGTAAACGTTTCGCATTTCTTTGAACAATGGTAAGTTTAAAATTTGTTGATTGCTTCTTAACCTAAGTAGATATGTAACCTTAATCCTCCTCCTGTGATTTTCTGGACTCTGGTTTTGTGAAGGTGAGAGCCTTCCATCCTTCAGCACCGCTGTGGTTAAGTACATATTTCCTTTCTTTTTACTGTTGTCCCTTCTCAGCAACTTGTTAAATTGTAAACGAGCGGCGGACAAAGGGGCGACAGGGCCGGCGAGGCACTTATGGATGACGACCAGAGGAGGACCTTCGGAGGACCTTCTCGTCTCTCTGTACCACTCTCACCTCAAGTCCGTGTCCCACCACCTCACCTGCCCCTCATTCCCTCGCCTTCTTATTCCAATAAATAAGAAGGTGTGCCGGCTTGATGGGTGGATGGATGGATTTTTGTAAATAGCAACAATAATAATAATACTTACGTATTTACTTGTACGGATAAAGAAACCATTACACAAAGCAGTTAATATTTCACCCGTAATAAGCAACATGTCTCCAAAAACCATAGACATAGCCACCTACACATCATCGTCTTAACCGAGCAATTATTTGCAGCTCTCTGGCTGGTCTCTCCACCTTCGTTGCGTGTAAAAATCCATTTACTTTACAACAAAATCTCATCTCAAGTGATGTTACATTTCTTGGAGAAGCCATTATTACGTTCTTGTTGTACGATTATTACTTCCAGTTCAAATCATATGAGCTCTCAAACCATTTTTTTTCACCCCTACAACAGAACCCAAAGTATGGACAATGAGCAATGTGGAATCACTTCAGAAATCCAAAATCTGTTCAAATTCATGAATAAAGAGAATCTTGAGATGAAGAACGAATGATGATGATGATAATAATAATAGTTAATAGTAAACGGAATGCATAAAGTGGTGGTTCTTGAGAAGATAAGATTACGATTACTTTACAAATTGTTCCGGATTCACCCATCCGTCCAAGTTGGGGTACAATAACAACAGCTCTTTATGAAAATGGACAATTGTGCGAGAAGAAGCTCATGAGAAGCTCTTCTGATCCATTCAAATATTCTTATGGAAATAATATATAATGAAATAAATTCCAAGAAAGTATGTGTGCTGACGATGATTGTTGTAGTATAGATCATACCGTTTTGTTGTGCAGGAATTTTCTTAATCTGCCAAAATGTTCGGTTCGAGATTTATGTATGTAAATATATTGGTTCAATTCTTCTCGTTAATACGGGATGAATAATATTTAAGTAATTTTGCCCATTTTCCTCAGTTGACACCTCCTCTTCCTCAAGGAACAGGAAGGTGCGACGAGCAGGGAATTCGAATGGTCAAAGAAAGGCTGCAGCATAGTTAGTACTTGTTGTCACCTAAGTTTGGTTTGGTCGTTTAGTTGGTTTTGTGGACAAAGCTGAGTGCCACCGCTTTTTGTAGTGACCACATTCCAAAGAGGATTAAGGTAGCTGGGCCATACGTACCAGAATACGTACAACATGTACACACAGCAAGAATGAAGAGCTATGAATGTATGTATGTAGGTACATATACAAATACATAGCTGCATGCAATGTAATATTGTAGTAATAATAATAAGTAAAGTATACACACAAAAATAAGGTACCTCATAAAAAAAAAACTTTCAAGCCATGGAATTTGAAACCATGTTCAATTTCTTTATTGTGCAAAAATTCAGCATATTTTCTTGTAAATCTTGCAATTCTTCTATTTAAAATCGAAATATTCTAAAATTTGTCATAATTTGTACACTGCAGAATCTTGGAAAACTGATAAAACCGGT